CACACAGCTTACACACACACACACACACACACACACACACACACACACACACACACACACACACACACACACACACACACACACACACACACACATCATTAAAATGGTTAATGACGGACAACCATTTGCTATAGTCAAATGCCCTCAGCATAAAGTTAGATTTGTTAGAGTAGAATAGATTACCTCTATGTGTTGTCAGTTATAACACTTAATTTTCAATGAAAACAGTTAGATTATGGGATGTACATTTAAAAAATGTCAAGAACAAGAACTCAAGGGAATGATGCTATAGTTGCTAGCCAGCCAAAGAGAAGGCTGGTTGCTGCCAGGATGGACTGTAGGCTGGTGGCCCAAAGGAAGGCTGGTAAGGCCAGGGTGCAGACTCCAGGCTGGCACTGCAGAGCGTTGGCTGGACACGGACAGGCTGAGTTGCCGTCTGGTTGCTGGCTGGCCTAGTTGGAGGAATCAGTTTTTTTGTCTTCTAAATGACAGAAAGACAAACAAGATTCTAGGAAGCAGAGAATCACTTCATGACGCGGAGGCTACATCATATTCAAAGTCAATCGGCTTAAATATGATTGTAAAACATCAAAACTACATTTGGAGTAACAATAAAAGTTCTATAAAACCTTTACACAGTTATGGGTCAGAGGTAAGGAAGAAATGTTCTGTTAATGCAATGGTTGTCAAGAAACACTTCCAAGTATCCACACAGTACTTGGGCTGGATGACAAGTCCACAGAACACCAGCAAAGCAAGAAGCCGAGAAGGATTTGAGAAATTCACATTGATTATCTTAATAATTAAATATCTTTTAAGTCAGTGACAAGAGACAAAGCAGCCAAATGATCTGGTTCTTTACATTTTAGTGCCACAAGGACATCGACTCACATTTGATATCAACAGTTACAAAGAGGCATGTCCAAGACTGGGAGTCCTGTACAAGCTTGGTCTTTGTTCCTTATTTCAACCCAGGTGGTATTATGTTTTTCACTGCTTCAAAAACAAAATACCAAGCGAGGCATGTCACAATGCAGCTTCTACTTGCCAAGTGACATTGCCAAGCAACAAAAGTCATTCAGAACTGTGTCTCTGACCACACCAGGCGAGAGATAAAGTTTGGACCTCCTTGAAGACCTCACACCGAAAGGCCTCTGTGCTTTTCTTCTGCCCTCTATTCTTCATTGTTTAATTCAAGTGTCAATTTTCAGTAGGCGCCTGCGATGACCCTTTTTTCTGCCATTGTCTCTGCTCGGTGGGGCGGGATTCCTCCCACTTAATCGTTGATCCAATTAATTTGGAAAACATTTCTCCACTTCTTTACAAGAATAAAGGCCACTGAATAAAAATGTGCAACAAAAGAAGTAAGTTAACACAGGGCAATGTCATTGATTGACACCGGTGCCAAAATGCCTGTGTTGCTATTATCCCGGATCGAGTTATGGAACCTAAGCAAAGAAAGGTGGCCATGCTGAAAGAGAACAAACATGTCTAATTAACTTGTGTCAAATAGAAGTTTCTAGCTCCACTCAAGTGAATCATCCACCCCACAGCTTTTATGGATTTGCCAGGGTAGAGCTTTTAAAATGCCAGACGCTTATTAAACTGATGTCATTTTAACTTTTTTTCTGCAGCACACACCTGGCAGCTCAATGCTCCATTCTCTATCGGTCGCACAAGAGAGACCCTCGGCTGTGCTGCAGGAGGTTTTCAAACTGCACACCGCAGGGGGGGATTCTAAAAACCTGTCAGAAAAGGTATTCCAACACTTGTCAGAATGTAACCATGAACTTCTTTGTTAAACTTTGCTTGACTTAGCCTAATTGGTCATGTTCCCAATGGTGCACAAAATGTGCGCACTCTGAATGGTTGTTGTGAAAAGACAGAATCCATAATAATTAAGCTAAGACCATAATTAGCTGCCTATAAAGTTACACAGCTGTACACACAGAATGGCGGAGTGCAGAATCACAGACGGAGCATTCTCTCTGTAATTCCTGGCTACATTATTTGATCAAGCTAATTGGGCGCCGAGGCTGGATTCCTCTCAGGAGCAGAAACACATATGAGCAGACTGGACCGAATCAATGGAGAGCCACATCTTTATGTTCTTCCCAGGGATTAACATATTGTGTGTGTTAAGTCCTGCATCTGGACATGAATAAATCATCAGGTGCTCAGCCTTGGGGGAGTTGCCTTCAAATCAGTCAAAGTGGAATCAGGACTCAGATGAGATGGCGCTCACATGGACTCAGGTGCTACTGATGGAAGGCGAGAAATGCATATATGATGAAGGGATGGTAAAATGCACTCTCGCTGTGAATGTGGATTATTGAAAATAGGATTTGATAGTATACCTCCAACCACATTCACAGGGACAATTGAGACTTCCAGCATGTCTCCTGATATGTTTTGAAATATTGGATGTTTACTTACATCATATATTCACGTGTGTGTAGTACTGAAGCTCTCAGAGGACACATCCAAAAAAACTCCCTCTGGAGGGAACACAGGGATGTAAGCCTTCAGACCCACACATGCACAAAAGCCTATATAACACACTATAGCATAATATATGAATTCAACTTTGCCTTGTATTTTGATTTATGACAAACTACTAACCATCCTTAGTATTGGCATCAAACTATACTTGAGTACCAAAAGCAAAAGTACTCTTTTAGAGTGATTGCCCATTTTGGAATCATATGAAACTACTGCCTTATGATTATTGTCGCATTAATTTGTTTATCACAAATGGTAAAGGTGGAGCTTATGTTGACAACGTTATACTGCTGCTGAATATTTTAACCTATAATTGTATGTCAATGTTTATTAATTAGTTGATTTATATTTTTGAATAATTACACGGCTTAGTTCAATACTCAAATCTGATAATCTTTATAAATGAGCAGAAGTTTAAATTAGCATAACATGTAAATACTCAGGTTAAGTACAAGTACCTCAAAATTATACTTAAGTATGATGCTTGAGTAAATGTACTTACCTAGATTCCTCCATTGACACAGACTTCAGGTTTATTTTGAGGGAGACGTGGGATGTCTGCAGTCTGATAAGAAATTCAAGCTTCAATTCAGTGTGCTTTGTGACTCAAAGATGATATTAAACATTTCCTTTTCAAAAGGATATATCATTGCTGTTTTACCAGCTTGTTGCTTTTATGATATATGGTCATGTGGAATATTTGCAGATATTTTAGCGTGAGACTTGCAGTAATGAACTCCAGAGGAAACAGGATGTTTCTTATTATGAGTCCAACCCTCTCCCATGTGTCCCTGTGGCTTCCTTCTAAGTGGATGCAGGTGAGTGTTCACAATTACTCCCATCTTTGCCTTTTTGGAGTGAGTGGGCTGATAAACAAGTGGCGTATGGCGCAACTAATTGTTCCTCTGCACAAAATGGAGTGCAGGAGGGGTAATCAGGCAGCTTTGTTGTGAATAACATGCCACACAAATGTCTCTGTTCTGTCTGATGATGTTTTGACGAGTGAAAGCCTGCCACTCCACCTGTGCAATTTGGGAGGAATAAAAACGCTTTTGTCTGTGGATAACATATGTGTATGTTTTTGAGGGAAGGTTGTCAGAATTAAAGTGTCGGCACTGTGTTGCAGTGGTGAGCAAGATGTGTGTTCTCCCGGTGTCCATTTGGTCTTTCTCATGGTCTTTTTCTGGATTCTCCACCTTAGACTCTTATACAGGTTCACCTTTGGTGACAGTAAATTGAGCGTAAGTGGGAATAGTTCTTTCTGCGTCAGCACTTTGATCGACTGGCCACATGTCAGCTGTGATCTGCTCACACTGCATGGTACACATCCAGCCCTCTAGTGCTGGCTGGACCATGTGAGGGACTGAGCAGTCCATGACTTCCCGCTGGGTCCAAGCCGAAGGTATTGTGTCCTTGAAGACATGACATAGTCGACCACCGTCTGAAAACTGAAGCAGGAATTTTTACTTGGTGATAAAATGTAGACATGTTTGAAATCTTTGAATAATAAAGTATTTACAGTATGTAGACTTTATTAGGCATAATTGAACTCTTTCATTTTCATCTTTATTTCGAACAGATTTAAAAAAAACAAATACAAAATAATAAATGTGAAAAACAGAATACCGTATTGTTAGAATACAGTATTTATCAATATTCATAATAATATTCAACAAACAAATATTCATAATAATAATAAGTGTCCGAAAGGGAGCAGGAAGAAGCAAATGCTTATTAATTCCCACCCCTTACTTACTGCTAATCAATGATTATCCTTTAAATCATTTCTGCAAGTTATTCCAACTCACATCTTTACATTTATACATACATTTACAATAACTTCTCATCTTCAATCACCTCTCTTCATTCTCATAGTTTTGGTCACCCTGTGGTGTACATTTACAGATGTAGCACCTCATTTCAGACTCCAGTTTACAGCTTCCTGCCTA